CTCCAGTTCAAAGCATGATCTTAGAAATTCTAAAAGAATTTAGTAAAATGTCTTCAAATGATCTTGCAAGTAAAAAATGTTATGTTATTATATTTCCTGAATTAGATAATACATTAGCAAACTAGGTTTTACAATGTGAACATTGGGGTATGTCTAAGTGGTGAAATAATTAAAGCTAAGGGTAAAAGATTTGCAAAATTATTAAATATTTCCAAGAATGACCAACCAGAGTTTTCAAATGGCTGGCTATATTCTTTTCAAAAAAGACATAATTTCCATAAAATTAAATTATATGGTGAGAGTAGTTCTGCCAACATGGTCGCTATTAATTTAAATCTTTTGATTATTATTTGTACCATCAATCATTACTCTCTGTGTGATATTTACAATATGGATGAGACAGGTCTGTTCTATTCTTTGGCTCCTGATCATACATTTGCATCTCGTCAAATTGAGGGGTCAAAAAAAGACAAGGTAAGGATTACAATTGCACTTATAGCCAATACTAACAGTACATATAAGCTTCTACCTTTTTTTATTAGATATACAAAAAAGCCGCAATGTTTTAAAAAAAATTAAGAAAAGTGGATTCTACTACCGGAATAATAAAAAGACATGGATGACCGCTGTATATTTTTAGAAATGGGTAAATAAGTTAGATGCGCAAATGAGAGAATTAAACCATTATATTCTTCTTGTTTTTGATAATGCCACTTCACATGTAGTTAGTACACTCTTCTTGACTAATATAGAAGTACTTCTGCTACCAAAAAATACCACATCAAAAAGCCAAACTATGGATACTAGAATTATTATATCCTTCAAGCTTTATTATCGTTATTTACAACTTTAATATGTAATAGATCATGATGAAGCCAGTAAAAATAATATATACAAGGTTGACCAGTTGCAAGGTATGAGTAGAATTGTGTTATATAAATTATAATTTTATATTATATATAATTTTACGTAAGTTTCAGAAAATTAAATTTCATTATGTCATCACGTTATATAAAGTTCCAGATTTAAAAAAGCTCAGCCAAAATTATTGCATTATTTATAATCCGAATTGTAACTCCTAAATTATCAAAAATTTGATTTCAGAAACTAAATGTCTTGTATTTAAAATTATTATTAGTTGATTTTTAGTATAGGTGGGCAATATAGAAATAATATAAGATTATAATATAAAAAATAGCTATTTGAACTAATTTAAGCAAATTTGAAATTAGTTAGAGTTAGGATAAGAGTTATAGTATAATTTATAGTTAGGTTAGAGTTAGGGTTAGAGTTTTTTTATATTATAATTTTATAATATTTCTATATTGCCCATCTATACTAAAGAAGATCCTTATTATTAAATGAAATTTCAATTTATCAAATCTTATGCAAAATTATACAAAATTACATAAAAAATTAATATAACTTTACATCTCTAGGTATGAGGTAAGCGAAAATTGCTTGGGATGAAGTATCTGTTGAGACTATTAAAAATTGCTGGGCCTATACAAAAATTGGGTCACCTCGTAATAAAACCGGAATGCCTATTATCTTTTCTCTTTCTATTGTCTATATTGAAAATGCAGAAGAAAATATAAGTGTGAAAACAAATGTTGATGTGGAAGATAATGAAAATAAAAGTGTAAAAAAAAATAATGAAGTAAACTTAACTGCTGAAATCCAAAAACAAATAGTTGCACTGCATATTCATATTCCACTATCAGTAAATAATTGATTAAATCCTGAAGGTAAAAAGAAGGTGCATCAGCAATTTACTAATGATAACTTTGTTCAAGGCATCATTGAAATAGAACAAGTAGAAGAGGAAGAAGCCATAGAACTATTTTTGATCTCAAAAGAACAATTAAATATTCTACGCGAAGCCTTGAAAATTGTTGTTGAAATGGTTGAAGATAACAGAGCAATGATAAGGTTTTTGCACAAGGTACAAGCTCATATCCATGAGGAAATTAGAAAAGAAAAAAATAAAAAGCAAGTCCAATGTAAGCTGGATCAATTTTTTAAAGTTCATAATTACTGTTTTTAAGATCTCTTTACCCTATGCTATATTCAGATTATAATAATCATAAGCTAATAAGATTTTTATTAGCATACAATAGAGACTGATCTATAATAAACTCAGCTTTTTTTTTTTTATAAGGAGCTAATCTAAATTGAAAAATGTAAATTAGTAAAATAAATTTAAAATTACAGCATAATGTTCAAGCAAAAAACTAAACTTATTATCTTTCTTGCATTAATTTTTATTTGAAAATCTAAAGTTTATTGTTTATGCTTTCACTTTATTTCTTAAAATTTTGTCATGCATTAATAATCTTTAACTTTTTTTACTTGCAAGATCATTTGAAGACATTTTACTAAATTCTTTTAGAATTTCTAAGATCATGCTTTGAACTGGAG